GTTAGATTACTTTTTTTTTAGTAGATTTGTCAATGCTTAATGATAAGGTATGCCTAACCATGTTTATAAATTGTTCTTTATGTTGAGTGTTTAGCAACATAAGTTGTAGATAATCATTTCTAGGAGTCTTGGAAGAGAACCAATTCGGTTTGAGCAGCAATTGTGTTTACATGCTAGAGCGTCCCCTGTGAGCGAGTGAAAGCATATAGTAATCGCCCTCATTTAGTCTCATTAATTATTTGTTTCCCCTTTTTGTTTGTTGTGCTAAAGCATTTTTTGCCCCAGCATTTATTATTGACAGTATTTTCTCCCTTCAAGTTTCTCTTTGTGTTTTTTTTTTTTTATGATTTCATTTAGTTTTAAATGTACAACCATCGATTATCTTTTATTTGTATTTTTGGTATCCTTAAGCACATTACTTAGAGTTTTATACACAATCCCTGTAGATTTTAACCTTGTTTATACTACAATTGGTGAGAATAGTGTACACTTACACTTGCATTCACATTGATTGTGGGAATCGCAAAAGTAACCTAGGTACATTGAATCATTTTCAAATTAAAGAATCTAGTTGCAAGGTGCAACTTATTATTTATCAAAAAAATTTCGTACATGTTGGCCACTCATTAACCCCATTGTAGTCGTCTCCTTCGCCACTCTACTTTGCACATTCTTTGTCAATATTATATGAATTGTACTCAATACTTTTCTGTCCAACTTCTTCCATTTTCTTTCAGCTTATATATGAGGTTTGTCCCTCTCTAAAATCAAATCCAAATCTTTGGACTATAGATAATCTTCTATAGTCCAAAGATTAAAAATGACCAATTTGTCCTCTCTTCGTCCTGTTCTTCAATTAAATGGCTCTAATACCACTTGTTGAGGAATTAAAAGTCATGTGTATATTATCTCAATCACATACGCAAACAATATATATTAACTAATCTCAAATCATAATCTTGTTCTAACATAGTGGATAAAATTAATTTGGAATTAAGCGATAAATCAACCTAAATCTTAAACAACCATAACGAGATGTAGAGATTAAGAAAAGAGAGAACACAAGATTTATGTTGTGTTACCTAATATGGACTACGTCCAATTCTATGATATCATTATGGTAGGTTTTACTAAAATGTTAGCTAGAATCTTCTAAGAGTTTACAACTGCTCTACAAGCTTACGTGAAACTCTTCAATGCGATTGGATAATGGTTCTCCTCCCTAACAAACTACTCTAAAAAAAAGGGAACCTTCTCTGTATAAAATGGGACGTGTCAGCCGAAACGAAAGAACTGTGTTTTTTTATAAAAATCTTATTATTGTTGCAAACTTTGTAATGTCAATGTGACGCGCTCTATCTTTTTTTCGTGGATTGCGATAGCCCCCACGACGCTACTCTCTCTACCCCATGGCCGACGCAGCCACAAAAGTTGTTTTAGCTTCATTTTTTTCAACACTTATCTCATATTCTCTGCTTTTT